CTGAGCTAAATCCCTAGCCCCTCCTTTTTCATAGTACTATAATTTTTGTTGTAGAGATCTTTTACTTCCTTGGTTAGGTTAATTCCTAGGTGTTTAAATTTCTTGATACTATTGTGAATGATACTGTTTTCCTAATTTTTCTTATTGAGTTCACTACTGGTATATATGAATGCTATTTATTTTTGTGTGAGAATCATGTCTTCTGCAAATAATGATAATCTGACTTCTTCCTTTCCTATACACATCCCTTTTATTACTTTATCTTCCCTAAATTGCTGTAACTACTGTGTTGAGTACTATCTTGAACAGATGTGGTAACAGTGGACATCCTTGTCCTGATTTTAGAGGGAAAGCTTTCAGTTTTTCCCCATTTAATGTGATGTTAGCCATTGTTTGTCATAAATTGTTGTTATCAGATTCAGATGAATTCTTCTATATCTATTTTCTTCAGGGTTTTTATCACGATTGATGTTGGATTTTATCAAAAGTTTTTTCTGCATCCATTGATATGATTATGTATTTTTTGTCCTTGCTTCTGTTTATGTGGTGTATTACATTTCTTGATTTATGTATGTTGAGCAATCCTTGCAACCCATGGATGAAACCTACTTGGTCATGATGTATGATCCTTTGGGTAATGTGTTGCATTCTACTTGCCAATATCTCATTGAGTACTTTTTTTGTTTTTTGTCTTTTTTTTTTTTTTTTTTGGTACCAGGAATTGAACACAGGACCTTGTGCTTGCCAGGCAGGCACTGTGCCACTGAGCTATATCCCCAGCCCCTCATTGAGTATTTTTGCATCTATGTTCATTAAGGATATTGGCCTGTAGTTTTTTCAGTTGTGCCTTTGTGTGGTTTGGAAATCAAAGTGATGCTGACTTCCACAAATGAGTTTGCAAGTACTCCTTTCCTTTCATTTTCATTAAACAGTTTCAGGAATGTTGGTGGCATAATGCCCTTAAAGGTTTTGTAGAATTCAGCAGTGAATATAGCAGGTTCCGGGCTTTTATTTGTTGCTAGTTTTTTTTCATGACCACTTCAGTTTCATTGCTTGTTACTGGATTCTTATGGCATTGTTGTGACTTCTTGATTTAGGTTCTAGAAATCTGTCCATTTCTTTAAGATTTTCCAATTTCTTGAAATACAGTTTTCTTGGAATACAATATAGTTAGTATCTTCTGGATTTTGACAGTGTCCATCATGACTTCACCTTTTTTTTTGTTTGTTTCTAATTGCATTGATCTGAGCTCTCTTTCTCCCTCTCCCCCTCCTCTCTCTCATTAGTTTGCCTAAAAGTTTATCTGTTTTGTTCATTCTTTCATAGAACATCTCTTCAATTTGTTGATTCTTTGTTTTTTATAGTCTGAATTTCATTAATTTATACTCCAATCTTTATGATTTTTCTCTTTTATGTCAGTTTGGGCTTGGATTTCTGTTGTTGTTGTTTAGTATTTTGAGATTCGTCATTAGGTTAGTTGAACTTTGTTTTTGTAATCTGTTTTTCTAATAGATTGATTTTAATAAGCTCCCCTGTTAGGATTCCTTTCATTTTGATCCATAAGTTTTGATGTGTTGCACTGGCATTGTTGTTTCCAGAAACTGTTTGATTTCTTCTTTGATTTCTTTTGTGATCCAGATGGTGTTCAGAAGTGTGCTACTTAATTACTAAATTTTCTGTGGTTTCTTCTGTGACTGATTTCTGGTTTCACTGCACAATGATCTGATAGTAAACATGGTATGATTTTCATTTTTTTGTATTTATTTAAGCACACTGCTTGGATTAATATGTGATCTATTTTGGAGAAAGTCCCAAGTGCTGCAGAGTGTGAACTCTCTTGTGGAGTAGAACACTCAATAGCTGTCTACTGAGTCCATATGTTCAAGAGTGTGGCTCAGCTTTGATAGTTCTTTATGGATTTTTGTTTAGTTGATCCATCACTTTATAAAAACAAGGTATTAGGCTCATCTACTATGATCATATTAGTGTTTATTTGGTCTTTTATGTCCAGTAATATTTGTTTTATGAAGCTAGGTGCTCCAGTATTTGGTGCATATATATGTATAACTGTTATTTTTTTGTTGGCTTATTCCCTTAACTAGTATACAGTGACTGTCCTTGTCTCTTCTAATCAATTTGAGCTTGAAGATTACTTTTTCTGAGAGTAAAATTGCTACCCCCTTTTTGTTTTCTGGATCCTGGTTCATGAAATATTGTTTTCCTTGTTTCTGTAGCCTATGAGTATATTTTTTGGTTTACTGAATGCAGCAGACTGTTGGTTTTGTCTTTTGATCAGGTCTGTGAATCTGCGTCTTTTCACTGAGAAGTTCTGGCCATTAAGATGGAGAGTTATTATGGAGAAGTGTTGATTAATTCCTATCATTGTGCTCTTTCTCTTTTGATGTCTCCTTTGGTTTCATTTGGTTTCTTTTTGTTTATCTAATCATCTTGCTTGATACATTCTTTCTATCTGAATGTTTTTACTTTGTTGACTTCTCATACCTGTCTAGGTTATCCCAGCACTCCAGAAAATACTGGAGTATTTGGTATGGATAAATCTCTTGTTCTCGGGGGCTGGGGATTTAGCTCAGCGGCAAAAGCGCCTGCCTGGCAAGCGCAAGGTCGTGAGTTCGGTTCCTGGTACCGGAAAAAAAACCAAAAAAAAAAAAAATCTCTTGTTCTTTTTCATGTAATGTCCTTATCTCTCCATCTACTTTGAAATAAAGTTTTCCCAGATATGTTAAATCTACTTTGGAAGTTGTTTGCTTTTAGAGCTTGAAATACTTCACATCAAGTTCGTCTGTACTTCAAATTTTGTATTGAGAAGTCTATTGTAAATCTAATGGGTTTATTTTTCGATTGGGACTTTTTGCTTTTTACTGATAGCTTTTACAAATCTGTATGTGTGTGCATGTTTGTGTGTGTGTGTGTGTGTGTGTGTGTGTGTTGAACATCTGGTACTTCAATTATAACTTGCCATGGTGACCTTGTTTTTTCACTGTAGCTAGTTGGTGTTCTGTAAGCCTCATCTACTATTATGTTGACTTCTTTCCTCATACTTGGGAAGTTTTCTGTTATGATTTCTGTAAACAAATGTATTCCATGTGTGCCATCTTCTAGTTTCTTTCTAACTCCAATTAGCTTTAGGTTGCTTTTCTTAGTGTTGTTTAGTAGTTGTTGGCTGAATATTTTGTTTCTTGTTTTATTGTTTATTGTTTTTCTTGGTAATTTGTCTTACTTTACCACTTTGTCCTCAGTTTCAGAAACCCTGTCTTTACAATGGTCATTTCTGCAATTTATGAGTTTTATATAATTTTTTATATCTGATATTTCTGACTGGTACCTTTTCATGGGATCTTTGGTAAACTTGTCACTCATGTTTTGAACTGATTCGGTGTATTTCTCCAATTTTTAATTTATTTCCCTCAAATCCACATTCCTCATTTTGTATGACAACTCTATAAACTTTGGGCTCACAGCCTCTTTGAGAATCTTACCGAGTTTCATTAACTCTTCTTCCACCAACTTATATAAAGCTCTGTTACCTGGTGTTTGCCTTCCTGCCCATCAATGCCCCCTGGATCTACCCTGGTAGAGCTGGGGGAACTTTGGTGTCTTTTGTTGCCTTGTTTTCCCATATTCCTTTCTCTCTACGTGTGTGTGTATGTATATGGCTCTTGCCCCCCACCCCCAATTCTTTTCCTTTTTTGGTGCTGAGCACTGAGGTCAAGTAGTGTAAGGAGAGCTTGTAATTAATATGAAGTATTTTTAGTAAGATACTGCCTTCCAAGGATATGCTTTTAGCTTTATTTGTCCAGAGGTAATATTTACCCTTTCAGCTATTTAAGTTATCTGTACTTTGTCCCCTGTCTTGGGAATTCTGCCCTCCAACTCTGAGGCAGAATCTGACCTTATCCCTGGAACTGGCTTAGGAATGTTTTCCCCGCAGGCATGATGGTGGCATCTGGATGCAGGTTCATTTGAATGATGATCTAGGGGTCCACAGAGTCAGCGGCGTGCTCATGCTCTGGCAGGAATCAACCAATGCATTCACTGTAGTCATGGAACTACATGTGGAAGTTGGAAGGTGATTTGCTCTCAGGCAGGAGTCTGCAGAGACCGTGGCAGGAGTATGTGCCCACAGTAATCCACAGACCCTGCTCACTTATTTAGCTCAGAGCATTGTGGGGGCTGTCCCCCTGTCCTCGATGTGCACTAGTCAGGATGCCACTGGGCCACAGTGTTCCCCAGTGTTTGGAGGACAGGTGGTAGGGAAGTGGGGAAGGTGTATCCAGAGTCTGACTCAGGAATTCAACCTCCACAGCACTCATTTGTTTGTTCATTTCCTCAGGCTATTTGGAATGCTCTCATCATGGCTGCTCCCTGGAAGGGCAAGGGCTAGAGTAGTGAAAACCAGCTGTAATGGCTCCACTTTCCCTCTTCAATGATTCAGGTGTTAAGTTTGATTTATATGGATCATCTTTGCAATAATTTTTTGCTTTCAGTGTATAAGATCCTCTTCCATTACAGAGTACCTGTGGCTTCAGTGAATCTTCCCTGAGTACCTGTGACTTGACTCCTCCTCTAGTCAGCCATATTGGATGTCTCCAATAGTTCTCTCTTTTCATTCTCACAGATTATATATAGAACCCTTACCTTTTATATGATACTGCTCTTTGTTTTAAGGTTGTTATCTTAAATAATGGCCTGTTCTAAATTCTACCCAGTACAGGGAATTAAAAAACAGTGTTTGATTCCTAGCACTTTCTGTTAAGAAATAACCATACATAAGCAATCACACAATACCTTACCTGTGACATTCAGTCAGAACCCTGACTAGCGCTAAGATTGTGCGTACTTTAACAGTGATTATAGTACACCCTCTCTATAAGGTCAAGCGTTGTTACTATTCAATAATATATTCATACTAATGTTAAATAAAATTTCTAAATATAAGCATTTGTTTGCTATTTATTGCTAGCTTTGAATAGTGGTATAGTAGATTTATTTTTTGCTGTTGACCTGTCATATGTCTGACACATTTCCTTTTTTTTCCATCATTCTTTTTATTTTGTAGGGTCTATATTTTATATTATATAATAAACTTCATCTAAGCCTTCTAAGTTATTTCTTTATCATTTAAATTATTCTGTGATTTTATTTCTTACCTTGCTCCACAGTTGTCACCCCATTCTTTACAAATCTTAAAAGTAGCACACATACGTGCACACACACACACACACACCCTATTTTGGCAGTTGTACGTTACTTTCTCTAGCTGACAGATGTGAGAAAGACTTGAAATGCTAGATTGACATCGTTAGTCAGCAGATCTATTTTAAACTGGAAAAATAAAGAACTTCTCTAAATCACCCATGGTGCTGATAGATAACAGAAACTGTGAATGAAGAATCACTGATAATGATCAAACTTGTGAAATGATTACTGACCCTTCCAAATAATTTGAATTCAGGCTATACATGCTAAATATTTTCCTTTTCCTGCCTTTCTGAGAATGTAATGGAAAAATACTTGTCTCACTGACAGCAGTCAGAGGTAACAAATGTCACCAGTGTGGGAGGCTTGGTGAAAATAACAATGTACAGAAAGTTTGTGACTTACAGTGTGAGATGAAATTTGTAACTGGGCAGGTGGTAGGAAAGTGGGGAAGGTGTATCCAGAGTCTGACTCAGGAATTCAACCTCCTTTGTACTTTGTCGCCTGTCTTGAGAATTCAAGACTTAAAAAACAATTCAAGACTTGGTTTTTATGATAAAATATTGTCATGAGTAGCTGTAGGGTGGTTTTTACCAACAAGTGTTGATTTTAGTTTTATTATCTTCTCTGCTTATTTTTTTCTGACTTCTTTCAATTTTTCTTTCTATATTTCTCTTTATTTTCAGTTATCTTGATAAGTCAACATATGGGACATTTGGTTCACTGTATATTTGGTTTGTTTTTGAGACATATCCATTTATTACTCTTATGTCAAGTCAGTTACTACTGACTATAATCATTTGTGTAATTCTAATGTGTTTTTTATTTTCTTCCAGATTCGCCTGAGTGACATTATAGCAGCCAGAATCTTACGGTATGCAGATTTTGATACCTTAATGTATACCTGTGCTCCTGAATCTTACTTCATGGAACAAGTGGTATGAATATTTCCTTACTTTTTCCTTCTCTACAGGTATGATGGTATTTTACTCTTCAGTTTTCCTCTTTGTGCAAAACTCAAAATTTTTACTCAGATGTACCAAATTTATTTACTGTCATCTCTTACTATAACATTTGCTGGCCATATGATGTTCCTTACCTGTCTTATTCGTAAAGTCTAGTAGCTTTTTTCCTAAAAAATATTGGTAAATGCAGGACCATTCAGGAAAATAAAAACCACATTCTTCTTTTTTTTAAGAAATGCAGTTTTGTTTTGTCTTGTTTTTATTTTAAAAATAAAAGGAGGAAAACATTAACAGACAGACAACCGTTTACAAAATAGCAAAAGAACAGTACAGACAATACAGAGTTACAAACTAAGTGGTAGGAAATTAGCAATGTTTGTTGTATTACATATTGATATCTTCAAAGTGGTTTCTCATGAAAACAGATAGAGACATGCAATATTGATCAATCAAGGACTCATTAACAGTTTCTTTCAGCAAAGAAATAGAAGACAGTAGAACAACTATGTTAACTATCCTGTATATACATACATACAAAATTTCTCCTTCTTTCCCTTCTCTTTTCCCACATCCCAGTTGCCCTTTACCCTTGAGTACTTTTCTATCATTTCACAATGTTTATCATACCTCCTAGTTTAAATTAACTCTTTCAGGTTTTACACTAGTGAAACAATGTGGTGCTCGCACATGCAGGTCTGATTTATTTCACTTGTGAGTATGGTCTCTAGTTGTGACCATTTACCTATAAAGGCCTCAAGTTTATCTTTCCTTATAGCTGAGTAATATTCCATTATATAAAAGTACCACAATTTTCTTATCCAATCCTCAGTGGATGGACATTTGGGTTGCTTCCACAATTTATCAATTACAAATTGTGCTGCCGTGAACATAGGTGCACATATATCACTGTGATATGATGTTTTCTGATCTTCTGGGAAAATACCCTGCAGCGGGATAACTGGGTTGAATGGGACCTCTAGACCTAGTTTGCTGAGGAATCTCCAAACTGATTTCCACAGTGTTTTCACCAGTCTGCATTCCCACCAGCAGTGGAGAAGGGTCCCTATTTCTCCACAGCCTCACCAACGTTTGTTATTGGTTGATTTCTTAATGCTAGCCATTCTTACTGGGGTAAGGTGGAATCTCAATGTTGTTTTAATTTGCAAAGAAATGCAGTTTTATTTAGTACCCCAGATATCATTAAAAATATAACAGGGTATTGTTAATGACTTTTAATATGTACACAAAGCTCATTTTAAATTTTAAAAATTTAAAATGCATGGTATTATCCTTTGTAAAAATGCTCAAGTTGTTAGACTTTAAAACATTTGCCTCCTTTTAAGGCCATGAAAAATAAGACCAGGAAGGGATCTTAGTGACCATGTCATATAACTTGTCTATTTGCACATAAAGAAAATAAAACTGAAAAGATTTGCCTAAAAGATTGTGCACATTGGAACCAAAATTAAAATTAGCACCTGGGTTCTGAGGATCCTGGCACTCCCAAGCCAGTGTGCTTTCTTCTGTCGAGGCTGACTTTTTTCTTCATAGTATAGGAAGAGGTTGTCACTGCATCAATCAGTTCTTGTCTAATAATGACAAATTCTGAATTAGTGGCAAATATAATAATGCAATTTCACATTATTCTTTATTCAGCCAGTCACTCATTCATTCAGAAACTGTTATTGGCCACTAATTATCCATGAAGCAGTTTGCTATAAACCAACGGAGAGGAAAATGACCTGGTTCAAGAAATATAATTGTTGAATGGCTGGTCATGCTCTGTCACCAGGATAGGTCATGAGGATTATTTGGCTGATATTACTTTTGCATGTTTTCATCCTTCTAGTAATTATTTTGGCTACCTTTCTTGCTTTTAACTCTTCTTTCACAGATAATAACAGAACTTTGCAGTGTAGAAAATAACAATCTTAGGCCCAGAGAGCAGTAAGTACACATGTTAATATTACATAAATAAAGAAAATATAGATCCAAATAAAAGAAAACATAAGGGACGTAGCTAATTCTAGGTTTAATAAGTTTATCATTAACCTTGTTGAGTACTTTGAATAATTAATTTTATAATTTTGCTTCTTGCATTAGAACGTGGAAGTTGATAAATAAGTATTTTGCTAATGACAAAGACATTTTGCCTTTAAGAAATATCATTGTGGCACTCAGCTTAACATAGATTTTTACTAAGTTAATGTAAAATTCAGTAACTATTTTGAATAATTTGCTATATTTCAGACTCCACTGAGATACACAAAGACGTTACTGCTTCCAGTTGTTATAGTGATTATTTATATTATCTCTAAAAAGGTATTTTTAAAATTTTTTTCGCTTCTTTTTAAGTTCAAATTAAGAACTCTAGTCAATTAGTGGTAATTGCTCAGAATTCTTTATTTTTAAATGGATGAATTCTTTCTTTACTTTTTTTATTCTTTATCTAGCAGTATAGTTATTTTTATAGAGATCCACATTATTAAAGATACTTTTATTTATTCTTTCAAAAGATTATACCAATCCCCTGCTATGTATAGGGAACTGCATTAACATTGTAGGTGCTCTGGAGAAATAAAACATGGCCACCCCTGTCTTGGGCAGTCCTGGGGGATGGAAAGTGGAAATATTAAGCAAATAATCACACACATAACTAAAGAATTACAATTGTGATAGATACTAACAAAGAAAAATATCGTGATGACTTCAGTATTTTTCACATGTAAAGCACGTTCAAAGAAATTTTTATCTATTTTGCTTAGACAAGCTCAGGGAAAGTTTGTATAAGCATTCTTTTCTTTTTTTTCCTCTTCCTATCCCGCCTCCCACATACTAACATACCTCCTCCTCCTTTTTTTTTTTTTTTGGCAACAGGGCTGGAGCTCACTGTCTTCCTGCCTCAGCCTCTCAAGTGCTGGGGTTATAGGCATGCCCACCACACACAGCTTTGTATAGCCATTTTAAAATATCTTTTTCTACACTCCAAGTGTTTTTACAACAAAAGGAAAAAAGTCACAGTAAAGAGATAAGCTTTAAAATACCACTGCCAAGGGGCTGGGGATTTAGCTCAGTGGCAAAGCGCCTGCCTGGCAAGCGCAAGGTTGTGAGTTCGGTTCCTGCTACCGGAGAAAAACCAAAAATAAAAAATAAAAAAAATAAAATACCGCTGCCAGATAGGCTTGGTCTGAGAGTGATGTGTCTGAAAGCCCATTTCATGATGGTGGACCCTTAGGGATTTGCTTGTGGGTTGTTTTGTTTTGTTTTTTTTTTTTTTTTGAAACAGCTTTATTAATATTGTTTACCAGTTGTCTTGCCTTAAGCCAGTATGTATTTACTTCACACTTTTCAGCAGATACCAGTAACAAGATTTGTCTACCACCACACCAGTTGTGGTCCCTTTGAGAGGAGTTTTCGGTATTTCAAGGCAAACTGCGTATGTCCCCACGCCCACACACCTTGTCCCTTTGTTTTCACATGGAATGAGAATAATTTGTGAGTGGACTGTTTCCCCCTTGATTCAGTTTCTCAGGGAGCACTCAGAGACAAGACAGAGGAAATGAGAGGGAGTGGGTCGGGTGGGAACAAGTTTGCTGCTCTCTGTTCCCTGGCCAAAGATTTTCCCAGAACCCATTTCTGTTCCATTGAGGCCATCCCTGGCATTCTTAGAGGGCTCCGCTTGGGGCCTAATGTGTGAATGCACTTTGTTTTCAGTGAAGAGACAGCCAAGGTGGGAGAAAGTGCACTGTAGATCTGCTGTCGCTGTATTTAAAAAAAAAATTAAGAACTGAGACTCATAAACACATTAACAGCCCCCAAGCATAACACAACCCCCACTATGCATGTGTATTAGCAACTGCACACACACCTACTTACACACACATACACATATACACACACGATTTTATGGAATTTGAAATATTCTTCTATGAGGAATGCTCTTGAGTCAGTGAAAAAAAAGTCTAAACTTACATTTCATTTTTAGAGTCCAATTCTACCATGTATTATTTTTATTTTTGTATTTTGTTTTGTTTTGCTTTTGTTTTGGTCCTAGGAATTGAACTCAGGACCTTATGCTTGCCAGGCAGGCACTTTTGCCACTGAGCTATGTCCCCGGCCCAAGTTTTACAGGTTTATCTCAGAGCTGTAAGCCACAAATCCTCTGGAGAGAGAAATTTTCAGTTACCCTTCAATGTTTTGTGCTTCCTGCTCACGTCTTGGGGCCAACTCCATGTTTTCTTTCTCTCTGGCGCTCACTGATACCGAGTCCATTCTGAGTTTCATAGCCTCCTGTAGCAGTCACGTTGGGTTGAAAGAGTAACCAGCAAGGCTTGTATGTCCACAGCTAGTTCATTACAATCCAGAGTTCTGAGTGAAGCAAGGACATAGGTGAGTGCAGTAAAAGGGAGAGATCCTTATTTGCTAGGTGGGCTGAGATGAAACAGTCCCCACACACGCACAGGAGAAGCTGCTTCCTGTGTGAACAGCAATCTGCCCCACCCCCACTACTGCCCTGCCCAGTAAAAATGTGAATCTCAACCCTAGCAAGTACTTACCCACATTGGGGAAGCTTAGGACCTCAGAGCTCAAATATACTTTACCATCTATTCCAACATGCGTTACAGAAAAAGTTATCATTTTAAAAAGCAATTTGCCTATGACAGAGCTAGGACTTACCTATTCTTGAAAACTCACTTTAACATTTAAAAAAAACTTTCTGATGATAGTGTTTGCATGAATTAATCAGAATGTTTAAAATCTTGCAGCATTCCTTAGAAAAATCTCATTGCTTTGATTTTATTCACAGACTGTTCGTGAAGTATTTTGTGCCTTATCTACAAACACTTTTCTAAGGTAACTATTTCATAGGTATTTTAAAAACATACCACATTAAGTATTAAATAACAGTGAAATGTAAAAATTTTTCGAATATATGTGTATATTAAGCTTTGCCATTATGACTAAGAAAGGAGATAGAAACTAAATTTAGATGTTTTCTGTTCTTATGGATTTTTATTTTAACTTGTGTCGGAAGTACAGTTATTCGTGAAATAACTCAAAATTTAAATTGACTTAATTTTAATACATCTCTGGAAATTAAAAGCAGTTAACAGAAGTAAATTTTATTTGGGCCATTGTTTTTAGCTTTTAAAGAAGATATACTTAATTATTTTGCTCAATATTTATAAACAGTCTTTTCGCTGTATATTTACTGTTAAATCTCTATTTTATCACATTTTAGTGGTTTGTGGGAGTTGCCAGAATCAAGGCATAAGTAGATGGCAACAAAATATAACATGACTTATAAAATAAATCCACATAAGTAAATTGCTATTGGACACAGAAAGCAAATTTTGAAGGCAAATTTCCTTTTGAGGGAAATGTTATCTCAAATTAGATTTTATATGTGTAGTATGTCATTTGATTTTTATTTAATGGCCTTTATTTTTCAGAACAGATTTAGATTTACAGAAAAATAGTGAAAATTGTACATAGTTTTCAGGAGTCTTCTATCCCACACTTCTATTTTTAATTAGCAATTTTACGTGGTTCTCACAAGAGCTGACTAAGACCTTTCCAAAGTAAGGGTAATGATGGACTCACTGTACTTGGTTCTGGTCAGATGGGGGTCAGAGCACCCTGAAAACAGTCATTCAAGGAATATGTGACAGATCTGAGGTATTTAGTTTGATACCAAAGACTGCACACATAGCACCCAGTTCAGATATTTGAGAAATGTAACAAGGAAGGAGACAGGTGCGGGGGTCAGTAGGTGGAAGGTCCTTCACTCAGAGCAAGGCAGTCTTCCTTACTGACTGCGTACCTTTGTGTGTGTGTGGGGGGGGGTGTAGGTGTGTACGCACACATGTGCAGAGGGGCCTCCAAAGCACAGGTACGGTCATCCATTCAGAGAAAATCGTGCATCCCGTCTTTTAGGGATGCTTCTCACAGGTACCATAAGCAGCTTTGTAGGAATCATTCTAGAAAACACATAGAAAAATACAATTGTACCTTGGTGTATGAATTTAATTTGTTTTATGATTTTGAGAAAGATGGCTACGTTTGTGTTTCTGTGGGGAAAATGGCTATGGTCATATTTGTCATCTCATGCAGAGTTTGCAAATTGAAGTAAAATTTTGCCAAACGCTTGTATTTGTAGGCTGAATTGTTTGCAAACAAAAGCATTCATGAGCTGAGGTATTACTGAGATTTTAGTGGAATCATGTCCTTGTTACTCTGCAACTTATTATTTTTTATTTAACAGTGTGTCTTGGGCTTGTGCCTAGATCCTCCTTATTGTAATAGTCTTCACATTCTACTATTCTTTATCATGAGGGGCCACTGTGTATTTACCCATTTCCTTATATGTGTATGTTTAGATTATATTTAACTTTTGTCATAGCAACCAATGATTTGCATAGTAAAGTCTATGCACACTTATGTAGCATAGAGTATTTGAAGTGAGGCTGTTGGACCTTAAGGTATGAACATTCTATAATTTTATAAATGCACACTATTGCTATCAAACTTTTAACTGATAGATTTTTTAAAAAGTAGCCCATCTTATAAGTTTTTGTCAGTGAAATTTTGGATCTTTTAATAACTCTTCTGATGATATTTCTTCTTGACTTTTTAAGAAGATTTTTTAAGTTGGTATAGTTGCATTTATCTACCTTGGCTTTTGTTATCTATGTTTTTGGTGTCATATCCAAGAAAACATCATCAAAAATAATGTCATGAAGGTTTTCTTATACATTTTCTTTTAGGAAATTTACAGCTTCAGATCTTAAGTCTTAGTTTTTAATTTGAGGTGATTTTTACGTATGGTGTCAAGTAAAGGTCCAATTTTATCATTCATATATATATGTATACTTATACATATACTTATACTTACATATACTTATATATACTTACATATACATATATATGTATACATATATATATACTTTTCTAACATCATATGCTGGAGACTACCCTTTCTCCTTATGTAACATTGATAACTAGTTGGTTTCCTTTGTGTTTTTCTTTTAAGATTTATTTGCTGTTCATTGATCTTTTTATTTTAAAGAGAGTAGCAAAAAAAAGAACAATAGCAACATACCAACATCACAGACATAAACACAACAAAGCAAGAACATTAAAAATGATACAGAGTTTCAAAACAAAATGATAGGAATTAACAGCAGTTGTTATATTACATATTGTTATCTGTAACTATGTTGCTCAGATTACCAGATGTAAGAATGGAAGATTGTTCAAACCATTAAAGAGAAAAAAAATTATTAAATAAAACATTAGAAACAATACAAAGTTTCACTATACAAGATGATAGGAATTCACCAATGTGTTCATTGATCTTAATGTTCAGTTTTTACAAATGTTCTATAGAATTTGAAAACTATGAATTTTTTATGATTTTTTAATTTTAAAGATAAAAGAATGAAAACATACTAACAAACACACATACATTGAAAAAAATAACACAAAAACAATACAAGCAATACAGAATCTGAGACAAGCTGATAGGAGATTAACAATGGTTGTTGTATTACATATTGATATCTTCAATTTGGATACTCAGATAAACAAATATAGACATGTAAGACTGATTATATACTTAAACATTAACTGTTCCTTTCAGTAGAGTAATCAAAGTCAGCAGTACAACTATGTTAGCTATCCTATATATAAAAATATATATATATTTTCCCCTTCTTTCTTTTCTCTTTTCCCCCATCCCAGTTGCTCCTTACTTTTGAGCAGTTTCCTTTCATTTCACCATGTCTATCATACCTCCTAATTTTTATGCATTGTTTCAGATTCTTACACTAGTGAGACAATACGTTGCTTACACACGCAGGTCTGATTTATTTCACTTATGAGTATGGTCTCTAGTTGTTTCCATTTTCATATAAAAGCCTCGAGATTATCTTTCTTTATAGCTAAGTGATATTCCATTATGTAAAAATACCATAACCTTTTTTATCCGTTCCTCAGTGGATGGGCGCTTGGGTTACTTTCATTATTTAGCTATTACAAACTGCGCTGCTATAAACATGAGTGCACATACATCGCTGTGATATGATGGAAAACTATGAACTTTAATTAGAGGGAATTTGAAGTTATATATATCATGTAGTTAACACTGACAGGCTACATGCTCTACCTTACCTGTTCTTTTTACTGCTTTGTGTCTTCCTTTCTCCAAACGTTAGCTTCATATATAAAATGAAGGATGTGTTTTCCTTTAGTGTTTGCTTTAGATAGTGCTCTTGCTTATTTCATGATTGTTATAAGATTGTGCTCTTGATTATTAGAAAGAACCATCTTTGTCGTATTTCTTTTTGCTTTGAATTCTCCTTTATAGAGAGTTAATATTGCCACTATCACATTTTTATAGTATTTGCACTCTATACTTTTACTATTCATTTTTCAGCCTTTCTGTAACTTTTTGGTTTATGTGTCTCCTTTGGACTATTTTTTTTTTCAGTTTAAGTTCCCCTAACTCTCAGCTTTAAATTGGTGAACTTATCCTGCATTCATATCCACTGTGAATTGCGTTTGGACTTGCTTCTGCAGTCTGATTCTGTTTTCCATTCATCATGCTTCTCAAAATGATTTTCTTAGGATTTGCTGACTTCCCTGTTACCTATATTCCATTTCAAATTCACTGATGGTTTCGTCTAGTTATTAACTAGTATATACATATTGGTATCAATAATTAACATCTACAACCAACCATAAAAGCTAATAGTTATTGATTATTTACTGTGTGTCTGGTGATCTGTTAAGTTTCTTTCCTGTTCTAATTCAATAAATCCTTATACCACCCCGAGGGAGGAGTCCATTATCATTGCCTTGTTTACAGATGAGGAAACTGCAGCATAGGGAAGGCAGGTAATTTCCTCAAAGGCACTTCTTACTCCAATGAACTATCAGAGACAACTAACTTTATAAAGAGAAAATGTTTACTTAACTCAGTTTTGGTCAAAGTCCAAGATTTACTGTGGCCGTGGTTTGACCTCTACATAGGGCAGCATATCATGGCAGAGGAGGGGGTATTGAGCAGATAGTCTCATCCCAAGCCTTGAACTAGAGCAAGACACACACAGTGGGGGAGGAGAGAGCAGACTCGGGCTTTTCTAACAGTCCTCTCATGACAGTTACCCAGGAGTCCAGCTAGAGCTGCCATCTGAAAGCCCATGCCCAATGACCTAAAGACCTCCCGCTAGATGCCACTCCTCAGCGATGCCACCGTGGGCACCAAGCCTTTCATCTGCCCATAGTCACACTTTCAGGCACAGAGCCAGAGAGCAGCAGAGTCAGGACTCACACTCTGGCTTTAGACACCTGCTGCTTCACAGCTGAGCTACTAGGACACTTTCCCTCTTCCTGCCTGCACAACTGCATGGCCCATGTTACATTAAAGCAATCTGAAAATTTACTTCAGATTGTTATAACATCTACTTTAAGAAGTCTCTGAACATTTAGGTTGAAGACACCAGCTATTTATGGACTTAACTCTAAATTTGTAATTAATTTGTTCTTGACTGTTTCTTGTATCTCCTGCTTTATGTTCCTTAAACCCATAGGGTATGTACCCAAATGATACTTTTAGAGTAAAGAGATGGCATATTTTCTGATTGCTTTCTTATCTGAAAAATGAAATTATTTTACTTTCCTATTTAATGGATAGATTGTTTAGTGGATGTGTGTGCTTTACTTAGCATTTTGAAGGATGTGTGTGTGTGTATGAGTGTGTGTGTATGTGCTTTATTACTCACAGAATATTTTGATTTGAGCATTTAAATCATTCTTCAACTTTGGGAATTTTTGTTCGTATATTTTTTTAC